GAAGAAGAAGAAGAAGAAGAAGAAGAAGAAGAAGAAGAAGAAGAAGAAGAAGAGGAAGAAGAAGAAGAAGAACAACAACAAGAACAACAACAGCAATAATAACAACAAGAACAACAACAAGAAGAACGACAACAAAAAGAACAAGACGAAGAACAACAAAAAAATACCACCCTCCCCTCTTTTCCACCTCCCACCAAAACCACAATAAGCTGGCGCCCCCCCCCCTTTCCCCCTCCCCACCCTAGTCATTAATACGCCCCGGTCCCCGTACAATCCAAGCGTTTTACGGTAGTAGGCCTACCCTCCCTGGTATAATCTTACTACACCACCTCACCTCCTTACACTCCGCGGATCCTCGCCACACATATTATGCCCCGTCTTTTCACTGTTCTGTAAATTTGCCAATCGATAAAAAGCTTTCTACGTGAAACATTATCATTTATCCGTATTTTGGGGGGATCGAAAGCAATCTCAAGGCTATGTTTGGTGTCTGAACTTGTCTTTCGAGTCTGGATTCTATTTACTTTTCTGCGCATTGGAGGTTTTGGTGCTACAAGTGTTCAAGTTTATGGATGTGTTGCTGTGGAGGTGTCGGTTCTGAGAGTGTTAACTTTGACGCCGTGTGTACACTCTTGTAAAGTAAGTTGTGTATTAAAGGAAGAGGCTAGCCGTACTTATATGATGGCTAGACTGACAAAAAAAAAAAAGAATAGGCCTACTGAAATGTAAATACATTTTTATTTTAGTTTGCAGTACTTAAAGCATTTGAATTTGATACAGAACCAGGTGCCTTACTGAAGGTGCTTATTTTAAACCTGAATAATTACTAATGAGACTTGTTTTCTAATGTTAATATAATAGGCCCTAAGATAAGTACGGCTAGACTGCTTGGCTAGCCGTACTTGTACCAAAGCTTGTACGGCTAGACTGTCAGGCTTGCCGTACTTAATAATGATGGCTAAAAAGTAAATGAAATTTTTAGTTTGCACTACCTAAAGAATTTGTATTTCAGACAAAACCAAAAGGTGCCTTACTGACTTCTATATTTATTTTAAACCTGAATAGTTACTAGATCTAGATCTAATGAGACCTGTGTACTTAACAGATTTGAGTCAATAGGGCCAAACCTAGACCTAAGTACGGCTAGACTGCCGCTAACCACTTCATTTTGTTAATTCTTGCAAAGTAAATAGTAATTACATGTGAATACTCTTGTTAAAGTAAGTAGTAATGGGGTTTGTATACATTCGTGTAAAGTAAGTAGTAAACTTGTGTGTACATCCTTACAAAGTAAGTAGTAATTAAATGTGTATACTATTGCTAAAGTAAGTAGTAATGGGGTTTGTATATTCTTGTAAAGGAAAGTAATAATTAAATGTGTATACTCTAGTAAAGTTAGTATTAATCAAGTGAGTATATTCTTGTGAAGTAAGTAATAATTAAGTGTTTATGTTCTTGTTAAAGTAAGTACAGTTGTAATTAAGTGTGTATACTTATGTTAAAGTAAGTGGTATTTAAATATTCTTGCAAAGTAAGTAGTAATAAAGTGTGTGTATACTCTTGCAAAGTAAGTAGTAATGAAGTGTTTATTTTTTGGTTAAAATAAGTAGTAATAAAGTGTGTGTATACTCTTGTAAAGTAAGTAGTAATTAAGTGTGTATATTCATGTTACAGTTAGTAGTAATGTGTGTAAATTCTAGTAAAGTAAAAAGTAATTAAGTATGTATACTTTTGTTAAAGTCAGTGGTAGTTAAATATTCTTGCAAAATAAGTTATAATAAAATGTGTATACTCTTGCAAAGTAAGTAGGTATTAAGTGTGTATATTCATGTTACAGTAAGTAGTAATTAAGCGTGTAAATTCTAATAAAGTAAGTAGTAATTAAGCGTGTAAATTCTAGTAAAGTAAGTATTAATTAAGCGGGTAAATTCTATTTAAGTAGTAATTAAGCGTGTAAATTCTAGTAAATTAAAAACTAATTAAGTGTGTATACTCTAGATAAGGTGGGTCGTAGTTAATTGTGCATAGTATTGCTAAAGTAAATAGTTGTTAAGTGTTTCTACTCCAGATAGTATTATGATCTGTTCAGACTCGGTAACATTAGATCAATACGATACAGTATGACAGAGCTTGTTGTTCGAAGCCTGGTAGGAGTTGACAGTGTGCCTACTTTAACAGTTATTGCTAACTCAATATATACATGGTACCATATAAAGTGATCACACACACAAACACACACATACACACACACAGACACACCCACAACCCC